TGTTAAGCTTAATGTATCTTGGGTCAACATTTAATGTACCCTTTCTCAAGGGTCATCTTTGCAACAAAGCATGCTGAAACATTAAAAGCTTAGTAGATATTAGTGAGTTTTTGCCCTTTGTCAGCTCTGAGTGAAGGGGCTTCAGCACATTCTTTGTTTAGGTTAGTGTTGAAGTATCTCAAAACTGACTGACTAGGCTCCCAAATAGTTCTGTTTTAATTCTTTTGCTCCAGAATGTTTTCTTCGCATTTGTCACCTATAAATGAGGAAGAAAGGCTGCCCTGTGGCTTCAAGAAGTATGAATATGGCAGGAAGCTGAGTATGAGAGCTGTAGACTCTGTTTTGGAGTTGAGTACAGTCATGGGTGCTGGATGTCATGCACAAATACCATTTTTTAAGTGTAACACCCTAAGGCTGTAAAGAGACATCACCTTTGAGCCACCATAAAATGTTTTATAGAGGGACAAAGGCCAAACCATCATATCCATGCACTTTGTTATGCCACAAATGCCCAAAATTTGTGTCTGCAATATGACTGTGTCACTTTTTTGCATCTGTTTGCTTTAAGGTGGGCAATTACAGGCAGCCTGGAGCTGCCCTCATTCTCCAGCTGCCCTGGGCAGGGGCTTCCAGGGCTTAAGGGACTCAATTCTGCATGCCTCAGGTATTCCCATTCCTGGGGCATGCCAAATCAGTCCCTTGAAAGCCCAGGAGTACCTGCCCAGGTTCCCCCATTTGCAGAAGCATGCCCTGGGAATTCCTCAGCAGGGGCTTCCCCTGTTGCCTATCTTGGTGCTGCACGCAGACCTGAGGAACTTCTCTGCAATCCCTCTGCATCCCTAGGTTTCCCCATTTGGAGATGTGCACCAGGTCAGAGCATGGGCACTAAAGCACATAGTTGACAGCCCAGAGGTCGCAAGTTTTGAGACCATAGCAGAAGCACTCACAGCATGGCCTGTCAGATTCCAACAAAATCTGCGAAGTCTGCTAAATACCTTGTGTCAAGAACACAAAAAAGAAAGGATTAAGGCAGATTCCCTAGCTGTGTGTCTGTAAACATCCAAACCTGGGGTTCTCTTTTTCACCCAGCTTGTATTAGAAGTGTGGAACTCATTGCCACCAGATGCTGTGGAAGCTGACAGTTTAACCAGATTCAAAAGGGATTGGACAAAATCTTGGAGGAAAGGTGCATCACAGTAGCTATTGAGCATGGGAGTTAAGGGTACAGCTTCTGAGTCACAACTTCCAAGATCCTAGATCCTAAATGCTGGATGCTGCAAGGGAGAATGGAATAGTGGAAAAAGCCCTGGTTAAACCCTGTTCACTCTCCCTTTCAGCATCCACTCTCTGCCGCTGTGTGACAGGATATTGGGCAAGATGGGCTTGTGGTCTGACCCAGTAAATGGCAGTTGTTATGTATGTTCTTAAGCTCAACAAGTGTCTGCATGAAATGCCTACTTGAAGCAGGATTGCTGTGACTATCCGTCCCTTCTTTCTTGAGTTTGACGGAGGAGTGTTGAAAAATACCTTACATCTCTCTCCCCTTGTCCTTGCTATCAGTGGGGAAAAATTTAGTTTGGAGATGCTTCCAGTTTTATCTCTTGCACCCCACACAAGTGCTTTGTCAAGGCAGCTACAGTCCAAAGGAGAATCAGCTGAACTCTTAAAATCTTGAACTTAGATGCTGGGATTTTTGGTTCTTTGTGAAGCGTACCAAAGTTGTGAAATACAAAGATTATCAAATCCGTTGTTTGGTTTTACTGTTTGAAAG